CATGAAAGGTGTTGAGCCCAAAAACAAAAATTTGATTAAAATTCACAAACCCGCAGAAAAATGCAAGTTTCTTCACTTTGATTATTTTGACGAGAGCCTGATTCCACCACGCTGCCTCACATATGTTACAAAAACAGAAACATCCCTTGGGGGTCCCACCTACCTGTAGACACACAGAGAGCAGCAGAAGAAGACTGGCCACGTAGCTCGCTGGTACAGCCATCCTGCCTCCTGGCACGAGACACAACAACAGTGGACTGTAGTTGTGGTGGTGGTGGTGGTGGGCGCGGAACTCCGCTAGCCTAGGGCTCAGTCCGTCCCGGATTTAGAACTCTCTCCAGCAGCTGGTGGAGATGAGCAGCTTTGTTAACAAGCACTGTAATAATATACGTGACGGCGTGACGGCGTGATTGCGTGACTGCGTGACAACGACACTACGTAGTTTGCGTAGCCACTGACTACCTGACTGTGTGTGACGGTGTGACTACGTGACAACGTGACAGCGTGACTATGTGACTGCGTGACTATGTGACTGCACGACCATGTGATTGCGTGATTACGTGACTTTGTGACTCCGTGACTAGGCGACTACGCGAGCTGTGAGTGTCAACTAGAGAACTAACAAGCGTGACAATCTTCATACACCCCGTCACTTCTGCTCGAAAAATTAACACTCTGGTGTGTTAAGGCAGGTTACTTTTGGTGACCACAAAAAAAATTGAAACCGCTGTCGTTATAGACCAGGATGCTTCTGGTGAGAAAACAAACCCTCTCTTGCAATAATAAGATTCACTAAATCTCTAACTCAAAAACTCATCAACTCACTAACTCAATAACTCAGTAACTCGCTTATTCATTAACTCACTAACTCGCTTACTCACTAATTCACTAACTCACTAACTCGCTTACTCACTAATTCACTAACTCGCTCACTCACTAATCACTAACTCACTAACCCACTAACTGATCAACTCAGTTATTCACTAACTCACAAACTCACAAACTCACTAACTCAGAAACTCGCCTCCTCACTTTCTCACTAACTCAAAAACTCATTAACGCACTAATTCACTAATTCGCAAACTCACTAACTCACACTTTCACAGACTCACAGACTCACAAACTCGCTTACTCGCCTTCTCACTAACTCACTAACTCACAATTTCACCGACTCACCAATTCACTAACTCACTAAATAACACACTCACTAAATAACAAACTCACTAAATAACAAACTCACTAACACACTAACACACCAACTCACAAACTCGCTGACTCACAAAATCATTAACTCACCAATTCACTAACTCCCTAACTCACTAACTCACAATTTCACAGACTCACCAACGAACTAACTCACAAACTGACAAACTCACTAACTCACAAACTGACTAACTCACAAACTCTCAAAATTAACGAGCACACTAACTCATTACTTTTAATATCATTCTTGTCTACAAGACACATGAGCAAGTTTTCAACTATTTTCGAAACCCCTTCATTATTGACCCACTGAGGATCGAGATATATTATA